GACCGCCGTTTTATGGTAAGATGTTCAATAGAGAGCACAAGATTGGCGCATTCCCACATTTGTCTTAGTAGAGTAATTTGCCATTTTCATGAATTTATTGCAGGATGATGGGTTAAAAGTTGGGCCAACTTTTCCATCAAATAGGGGTTTTTACTCCTTTAACCGGAATTTGGCAGTGCGTTTTAAGCCCTAGGATCTGAATGAACGAAGGATAGAAAGGTAACCGTGTTCAAACATGCAAGTTGCATGTTACTGAATGAAATTGGTGCAAGGTGTCCGCCTATGGCATTTCATGTCGAAGGCACCGATCAATCACAGACACACCTTTAGCGATCTTTGTGGGTTGCGTGTAATGTAAACGGAATTTATGTAGCGGTAAGCAATGTTAATCTCGTTTGCTAATCATGTGGTTGTGCAGAGAAGTTCCTCACTGGAAAAGAGAGTTAGTGGTAGTAAGTTAATTGACATTTAAGTGTGCGGTATTCGGTCCCATTATCAAGGATGACTTGGCGGTGGTAGCGTTCGCCACTTCCGAAAACTCGCAAAGACTTTTGATATTGTGTGAATGCGCAGAACGTGTTGGAGATTGAGTAGCATTAGCGATGTGATCACAAAAGGCTCACTTGGTAGTTTGCCTACTAGATTTCATTAGGCTTGATGCTTTAAGGCTTTGACTAATCGAAGAGAAGTGGAACCTGCTGAGGGATTAGTTCTGTGAACATTTACTGCAATTAGTTAGCCATAATGCTTGTGAGGAAAGTTGGAACTTGAAATTCGATCGCAGTGGGCTGACTGAATATTGTCTTCACTGGATAACGTATAGCAAGGAATTCATATTGCCTTCTGCCAATGCTTCCTTGTAGACTTGCGGCATGGGCCTACTGATCTCATGTTTGGGAGCAAAGCATACGATCATTGTGGGGCTTGCCTTTGAGGCCTGCCAATTGGCCATGTTCGGTTTTTTCAGCTCTGCGTGGATTCTTTGGTCGGCAGGGTGTGTGGCGGGTCTGGGAAGCATAACCTATCCTGCTCTCTCTGCCTTTCTCTCCAACCACGTCAAGGCTGATCAGCAAGGCCTTACTCAGGTATGTTTTATCGTTGGCATCCATTACTTTTTCCTCCTACGTCTCTGTCTACTAATTTGTGTTTGTGAGCTTGTGCAGTACTCCACCTTAGTTTTATGCAATTTTTCCCATTGGTTTTGAGCACTCACGATGCATCTACTACGTCATTTGCTTATGAGAGAGAGAGGCAGAGTCAACGATCGTTAGGGTGTACATCTCGTAGACCAATTTATTTGGATGGGTAGTTGGATTAGGTTTTTGCTTGGTTTTTATTGTTATTTAAAGCATAATTGCTCCCTTCGCCTCACTTACATCCAAGATTTTGGCTTCCCATTATAAGCTCTCACTTTCCCTTGTTTTGCAGCCATAGCCGAAGCATTTCTCACCGACTTGTCTGCCTAAGCTCCTTTGTCGATTTTTGGTGAAAATAAATGGTGAAATTGCTGCATTCTTCTCAGTAAACCCCATTTTTAATGCATTTTTTCGGGTGTTATAAGGAGGAATCAGTATTGTTAATTCTATTATCAAGTGAAAGTAAAGCCATCATCACAAAGCCAGATTTAATTTGAAGGATTGGCTGATATGAAATCAGGATGGGAGGTACTCTGGCCTTTAATCATACAAAAGAAGAGGTTTAAAAGTATTATGAGTGACATTTACGCCCCCTCTGCTAGTCTCTTACCCCGATAGTTGTAGCATTACTGGACTGGACTGGAGGAATAAGGGTAGATATCTTCCTCATTTCGCAATAAAACAACGTTTTTTTGGATTTTGGGGCGTTTGTCATACTTGCACCCTTTGTTGCGCTTACTTTCAGTGGTAGTGATTAATGCGGATCTTGTCATGAAGGCCTCGTTTCTCCTTGTCATTTCTCTTGGGGAAAAGGATTGTGGCGCTTTGGGCGTTCAATCAAATCGGACCTTATTTTTGGTACCCTTGACTTTTTTGCAGTCTTAGGTCACCACTTGGTTACCTTTTGTAAGCAATATAGGGGATGGGATGCGCCTAAGTGGACAACAAATTCACATGGCCTTTTTAATAACTGAAGTACCTTCCATCACCGAGCATTCAGTGAACAAGAGCGTTCCACTTGGGATCCTGTATGCTCCATGGTTCTTGGCAATAAATGTTTTTCTCTCACAATTCGTGATGTTGCAGTCGTTATTGTCCTTTTTGGCTATGTTTTGATATCACTTCCTTCAACCCTTGCCTGAGGCGCGTTTATATGAACGCACGATTTCCGGTGTACCTCGTCTCAGCAAGTTGTCGGCATGTAAAAAGGTGAGCGAATGTTTATGGTCTGAATGAATACGTGCTAATTCGTTGGTATCATATTCCTGTTGTGTCGCATACTTCTCCGTGACCTTCAGTGTCCATATCTGTTGGCTGATGTGGTTTAAACTTTTGATAAGCAATGACGGCATCATCGTATTGCTCAGAACACCAAAGTGATTCATGGAATGTGATTTTAAGAAGGAATGACTCCTCCGAGTGGAATAGCACGTTGGCTTTTAAGGACTCTCCCATTCACAGGTTTTTACGCGGGCGGGTGTGCCATTGTCTGTGTGCCTAAACGCGATCCACTTTTCTACGCCGCCCACTCCTAACTTCAATATCAGGATCCACCTTAAATGCAGAAACCTACGTGGGCTTTGTATATACATATGTGTGTGTATGGTGGAGTGCGAAATGTATTGTTTATCGTGACTGCTTTATTCCATAGGCCAAATACCCTTCTATTTTAAAGTCCCTTTTCTCAATAAGGAGCAAGTTGAAAGGCCATCCTCTTGCCCTGTGTCCCTCCGTGCCACTACCTCCAAGCGAGGATTATTGGTCTCTGCATTCACATTTGAACACGTGGGGGCAATAGTTGAATGGCAATGGAGGTGTTTGAAATTGTTTTGTTTCTTTTCTCATGGAGACTATAAGTTGAATTGCTTTAACGACTCACCTTGTTTCGAGAACTTTTCTCCTTTCTGGTCCATTGTTATGCGAAAAGTAGATATAAGTTCAGTATTTTTGTGAAAACTTTTGTCCTTGAAATGCTTTCCACCCTGTTCAGTGTCACATTGAATTGAATTAAGAGATTCTCCTCCAGTGGCTTCCCGTTGAACACTCCAGCTTGTTTTTTTTTTTGCCGAAAAGGCATCCTCAAATAACACCTTTGCCGTTGGTGAGGGCTTGTGCCTGTTCATAGGCTTCAATTTGTACATTTTTATTGCCTTGATTAGTCTTGTCCGAACCCAAATCAAAGGTATACCTTAGTCCATTTAAAGCGTTCCAGTACGTAGTATTGCCCATACAGGCGATGGGCTTGGACACGAAAAGCCTTTTTTTAAGAAAATCAAAGCAAAAGCATTTCAATTGGCAACCGTCAATCACATGAAAATTCGGTTGGATAAAAATAGGATTTTTAAAAGAGCTTGAGAACTTGAAAGGCGATGTATTAGCAAGCAGCCGCCCGAGGTAGACAAATTAGCTGCAAATACAACTTTTAAGCCTTTTCCATTACGTCATTACAACTTGACTCACTTTTATGTCGTATTTGTGGACCAATTTTTTCGTCAAACTTTTCCTCCCATCAATTTCGAACAAAACCAAGTGCTAACATCAGGCGGCTTTTAAAGCCATGTGAGTATTTTGAGGTGAAAAATCTAGTCATTACTCTGGCGACGTTGATTTCGTCAATTCCAGCCTTACTGTACATTGCATTACATTTACGTGCAAATTAAACGTAAAAGTTGCATTTGCGATTCCATTTGCACTGATGAGCTCCTCCTCAGAGAGTATCCCAGCTTACTGTCCGGAGTTTTTTTGTCACTACGGCACTAGCTAAAACAGTGACAGCTTTTTTGTGGGTTCTAATCCGTCTTTTTTTTTTTCAACCTCATTTTATGCCACCACGTTGCAGGGTCTTCTCACCGGCATCCGCGGTCTCTGTGGCGGTCTCGGTCCTGCTGTCTACGGTTTGATATTTTTTATTTTCCAGGTGAGGCACTACTATTCTCTGTCTTTACTTAAAGTGCTGCCAATATAAAAAAACATCTTGAAGGAATACTGATTGATGCGTAATTGTTGAACTTGAATGATTAACACATTTGCGGTCGTGACCATTTGAGCGTTTGTCACTTGGTTGAAAGCCTCCGACGGCTCAGTTTGGTCGTGCAAAACCTTCCTGCACCACTTTTGAAGTTCTTTTCATACGTCATACAAATTAACCCAAATGGCTTGTCTCTGATGTGTTTGTCCTTTTTGTGCGTCACATTTTTTTCAGCTGGATTTTTACTAAGTAGCTGGGATTGCAAGGCAATGGTACCTTATGCTGTTGCTTGCGTCTATGTTGTCTTGAAGAAATTACTCGTGTTTTCGAGTGTCTTCTGCGACTTCATAAGCGACTTCTCATTGTGCCTTAGTACTACTAGTCTTCTTATTACCTTCGAATGGACAGTGATAGTGAATCTAGGTGTGGATGGATGCATCCCAGTGTCTGCGGCTTCAGTCTTGTCATTTTCTGCCCCTGTTAAGTGCGTCCCTGTAGCCTTTTTTTGAATAATTCTTTCACAATGCAAATTAACTGATGCGTCAGTTCAATTTCTTCACTCTTTGCCTATGTGCGGCCTTGTAGTTGCAGCAGTGTTTCAGTTTCGCTTAAAGAACTCAATTTCTGTCTTTACTATAACTGTACATTTCAAGTGGTGGGTAAGGTAAAAATCATCAGAACTTTCGTTTGACTAGGACTCTTCAACCCCTAATCCTCACTTTCGCACGCAAATCCCCAATCCTCTGTCACCACTTTCATTTCTCAACGGCATTGATTTCTTCTTGGTGAAATGCTACAGAACGTAGTATTCTTGTTTCTTGGTTTTGTCGATCGCACCCTCCTTAGTAAACACATCCTGGCTTTGGCTTGATGGGGACGTTTTTCCCTATTTTTGAAGTTGACAGTGAAATTTTTTAAACTAATTTAGCAGATTCCATAGAGGTTTGGGCTCTTTGATACCTCCGGGCTTCTTATATTTTGTCATTGTATATGAAGTTGTGGTGTGCAACTTTACTTCAATGCATGCGATTTACCACTCCTTGTGTGTCTGTGTTGCAGTGGCTTTCTACCACTGTTGTATGAAACCTTTTCGATCATTCATTTAGGCGACTGATACGATACTACGTCGTACTACCCGTTCGCATCCACCGACTGTAGGTGACTTTTTTCTTACCAGAACAGAGGGTTGTCGAAGTAGGTAGGATTGGGTCGAGTAACTGCTTTTACAAGCATCGGATCCTTTGCTGAGGCGGGCAATGCTACTGGGATGAGTAGCACCGGTTTCTTGAATAAACCATTGGCACTGCTTAGACTGCTTATTCTATGCCCAAGAAACGTCATATCTAGGGAATCCGTTTGGGACAAATGTGCTAGTGATAATGGGAGTGTTTGGAAGATTGCATCGCTTCTTATATGTGCTCTTTATTGCTTTACTAAAATAGATGTGTAGGTTGAGTACGACATGGTTGTCTAAATTGTCTATTTTTACCAAGATCCCAGCACTAGGTTGAGGCTATTTGAAGGTGCGAAAAATTTGGTCAAGCTACCTATTTCTATCCATTGGACCCTCGCATAAGTAGTTCTCAAGATTCGCGCTCTCAGAGTTCAAACTATCCTAACTTCATCACTTTATTGTCTTTTATTGTGTGCCAGGTGGATCTAAACTACCGACCCTCTAATCAGTCGCTTTTGGGCGATTCTCCAGCGCCACTGCAAAATGGAATGGTATCAGGCGAGGAGCGAACCTTCCAGAGTCAGTTACAATCGCTTCACCGGGTATGAATTGAACATTTAAATATACGGTGACCAGTAAGGAGTTGCATAGATCTGGACTGATTTAAATTTGTGACGTAGGACTAGCTAAATATACAAAGCTAGCAAAAATGATTTCGTGCAGTTTTTATAATGAAAATTGAGTAACTACAAACCGCTTCTTTGAAGCGGTCATCATTGGCAATTCTTGTTACCCCTTTCCAAAAGTCGTCTTTGAATTGATAATTACTACCACAGTGTTTTACCTCGTAACACCAAACGGTGAACTCACTTCTTATCATTCTTTCGCATGTTGTCATGAAGTTTCCAAATTGAATGAAAAAGATTTCGGAAAATACGATTAACGGGAATGAAACGGATGCAACTGTGCCTCGGCTTCTGCGGTTTTGTTGCTGAGTTGAGGTCGTTTCGTGAGGCCGATAAGGTGA